TGCTTATATCATAAAAAGTATAAAATTAGTATAGTATATATAGCTAATATGATTTGGAAAACAAAATATCTAGACGAGAATTTGGCTTACTAGGTACACTCTGAAGATATATTTATTAAAGAAATGAAATATTCCAAGAAATATTAAAAGAGCAGTCAAAGGGAAAAATAGCTCATAAATAGAAATTATACTGTTAATATTTATGCAGTTTAATTATTTATAAAATTATAATTATAAACCATTAGCATCTAAGGGAATATGTAGTGAGTGATCTTGATGGTTGATTAGCTATTTTATATACAAACTATATCTGGACTGCTTGTGAGAGAGACTTCCACAATTCATAACCTAATTCACTGCCAATTTCCATTAACATAGGGAGGGACCGTCTGCAAACTCCAATGAAAACCCAGCCTTTGCAGGTTAACACTGGATTTTAGTGGTGGGACCCAAAAACAGTAAAATTTACTTTTGACCTGCAGAACTATAGGCGAACAACTTCCTGTTGTCTCAAGCTACTGTGTTTGTAACACTTTGTTGTGCATCTATAGAAACAATGTGTCCTAGGTTCCAGGTGACTTTAAAGCAATTATCATTGTAATGCAGTTTCTGTGCATGAGTTTAGAAAGTAGCCCTTGAAAGGAAGGTGGGCATGCATCCTCCAGAAAAGATGCAAGCAGTTGGCTAGGAGTGCTGAAGTTTAGGGATGGGCAGAGGCACAGCCTGCTTAGGGCTGTGAACTAACTCAGGGTAAATCGTTCCTGTGTAATCTCTGAATTGAGATGAAGAGTGGTGAGATTATATATCTTTCAGCTTTGCTTCTGATGCAAAATGAAAATTATCATACTCTCAAATATGACAATAGTATTACAAAAGCCATTTGAGTTTTTTCAATAATTTGAGTTATGGCGTTGAAAGTGTAGTCAGAATTTTTATTAGCATAATCTGTAAAGAATTTAGGATTTTAAGAAAAGGTATGTTTTACAAGTGGGTTATGCTTATACCTTAGATTTATGGAGAAATTAACTCAAATTACCTTAACTTAATATTCTCTTAACTATTAATACAACCAAGGAATTGAATTACCAGTAATTTTATATCTACTTTAATGGGCTAAGTGCTAGTAAAATGACAGCCTTTTATAACTATAACTACACACACACACACACACACACACACACACACACACACATATGAGAACTGTTAGAGATAAAAAACATATAGATGGTGAAAACGGTTGCATTTAATTTTTCTGACTTTTTTTCACCCACGGTAACTTAGTGGTAATGAGATTAAGCTGATATTGTAATGAACAAATCTTTTTGAGCCCAAGCCATTGATCTGGAGATAATAAGTAAACAAAATATTATAATAAAACAATATAGTTAAAGCATTTCTTGTCACCAGGAGCTAAATCGTTGATGCAAACAATTTAAAAGGGGACCATTTGTTTTGCTTAAAGTCATGTTTGCGGGGCATGGTGAGTTAGAGCCAAGAAAGCAGAGCAGAGTGGCAACAGAAAGTCCCCCACGTCCTGTCCCCCAGGTCCTGTCCCTAATGACCTACTTCCTCCAACTATACAGCACGTTCCACAATGCCCCGACCTCAGTACGGGTATTCAAGTTTGGATCCATCCATAGATTTAAGTCATTCCTAAAGACTGAGCCTGATTGATTCTGTAAGCCCCCTGCCTGACACGCGCAAAGGAAGACTCAGTCAATGATATCATTTCAACACAAATTATCAGCACTGAAATCACAAAGGCTCTGTCTTTTTTGAGATTTATTTGTATTTATGTGTAAATGTTTTGCCTGGTTGTATATATTGTATGCAGTATCCACAATGGCCAGGAGAGGGCACTGCATGCCCTGAAATACAGTTACAGTGGGCTGTGAGCAGCTATGTGGATTCTGTGACTCAGATCTTTTATAAGCATACCAAGTTCCCTTGAATGACTTAGCCATCTGTCTAACCTGTACAACATCACTTTTCAAAAAAAAATAAGTAAACAAACAAACAGACAAATGATTGTGCCTAAAACTGTGTGTTTTGTAAAGTATTTAATAAGAAACGACTGTAGACATTGTAAGTTTGAGATCATACATGCCATACTCACCATAAAATGAGCCAAGGAATGGAGTAAAGTAAGTTTACAAATGTAAACAATGATTTATATGGTGAGGTGATGAGGAGGCAATGGTGACTGTAGTTGTTTTCAGAAAGATTGACATCGTCGACCCTTTCTTCCTCCACACCCTCTGCTTTGAAATCTACCCATTACCCACAGCTGCTGGTGAAGAGCTAAGCCTTGCATGTGCTTGTCAGTGCGCACCCAAGCTAAGCTAGTCGAATTTCCCAGGAGCTTAAATCTTCATGGTAAACTGAAGTGTGCTTAGCCATGTCTCTATGTCACACATTTATTGTATATGGAAGCAGAGAAAGCAAATTTACATTTGCAGAGAAAGTAAGTAAAGTTGGCAAGTTAACATCCTCTGCTCTTTTTGCTGTGGGTCTTAATGATAAACCGAATCTGTGTTGCCCAGAACCTGAACAATTCAGTGAGCTGAGGTTCCTTATACCTAAACAATCCACTGTAAAAATAATGATAATTTTAATTCCAGGTATGTTCTCACTATCTGGAGCTTTATCTAATGTATATATTACATTATGTACATATGCATATATATTTAAAAGAATTTGTCATTACAAGACCTGTTAAATATGCAGTTAAAAACAAAATACAGCTAGTGCATCAAAGAGGAAATACTATATCCGTTCCCATAATTACCTAACACAAATGGGTTAATGTGGCTTACAGTGAACTATACAGACTACACAGAAAATCAATTTCTAGAGCTAGAAATTAATTCAAGTGTGGAGACCATAGATTGCTCACCCGGGAAGGATAAGAAAATCACTGCAATTGAACATAACTTCAGACAGTGAGTTTTCTAGTAGCCAAAGGTGAACACAAACAATGGGATGATTTTCTGTTCATTGTGTGATTAGAGGAAGCATCTTGGTTCTTTAGAAAAGACTCATTTTCCCCAGTTTCCAAGGCAGAATTGAACCTATTCCACATACATCATTATAGAATTATTAGATATGAGCATGTGAAAGTGAAAGAGAAAATGTAGGGGTAATTTTGCCCCCCTAGAATTTGGTTATTTAGCAAAGTGAAACAACATACCTTGGGCAGAAAGAAAAGCTTTCTTGTTGACGATATGCAAATGATTTTTATGTGATTAGCATTTCTTTTTTTGGGGGGGGTTATTTTGTTTTGTTTTTATTTTGTGATTAGCATTTCATACATTATTTCAATACCAGTTTGGAAGTCATCACTAGTATAATGCAAGTGAATAATTTTAGTCTGTGGTTTAAAAGAAACTTTTGGCATGTGATTAAAAAACAACACTTGGATATTAGGATTCTCAATTTAATGGATCATATTGTTACCAAATAAATCATGAATCTTTCAGTGAGAATATGGGGCTGAAATATTATATGTTGTTGGTTACTGTGAACTATGGGTTGCAAATGGTGTTGATGCAGGCAGCAAGATAATACCCACATTTACCACAAGCATTAAAGAGCGTTCCTGGTATTCTTGCTCAGGAAGAGTCTTTTTACCTATTAGAGTTTTAGCAGAATGGCCTAAGTATACAGAAAAAAAGAAACAACTAACAACTCAGGGGCTGAATAGATTGCTCAGTAGCCAAGAACACCAGAATTTAGTTCAAATCCCAAGCGTGCACATAAAAATCTTGCACATCTGTAAAGCCAATGTTTGAGGAAGGGTAGTGATAGAAGGCCTGGTGACTTTCTGCCTGACTCTTGATTCACTGATAGATGTGTCTCCAAGGGGTAAAGAACACAGTACTTCATGTCCTCCACTGGCTTTCTCACGCACTCATACATACATACACAAAACAGTAATAACTAATAATAACTCACACCGTTACAATGTTGGCTTATGAAAGAGGAGTCCCTGCTACCCAAACATTGGAAAGAAAATGAATCAAGGTAAGCCCAGGAGAGAAATTTTTTTATGTTTGTTCATAACATATAAAATAGTTGTATACAAGTTCCAGAAAATCATATTGATGTAGTAAATAAATGAGAAGAGTATCATGATATAAAACATGTTTAGGTGAACCTTACTCAGGTTCAGTTTTCTTTTTTGCTTTATCAGGATATTAGGTTTCATTTGAAGGGTGTAAGTCAGGATTTCCAACAACACTGAAGAAAAACATTAAATTTCTGTTCATCAGAAATTACTTTCCTGGGACTGCCAAAAACCAAGGTCATGGAGGTAACTTGGCCAAAAGCCCAGTATAATCAATGCCGCCGCCAGTAAAGAGAAGCATTTAATTATAACTCTCATTTTTTTTAATGATTTTTTTGACTACACAGTTGCCTAGGCGTGGACAAGGGCTACTGCAGGTGATTGAGGTATCTATATGGACAAATGAAGGAAGAAAAAAAATGAACTTGTTATATGTTATCTGGATGGATGAGAATTTGTTCATGAGTAGATAATAATAGAGGTAAAATGAAGTGTAAGCAGGAAAAATTAGTGTGGGACAGAGACAGTAGATTACGTTTAGGCATAGCCTTCATTGATAAGTACACATTAACAATAATAGAAGATGAGGAAACACAGAGATTAGATTTTTACATATAGCTTTTATGCCTAGGCAAATGCTGTGGGAACAAATAAAGCAGGACACAATGTTACAAATTCTTTATAAAAGGAGAGAGCAATCAGCACCAGTCAGTATCTCCATCAACATGCTCCAGAGTCTTTATTGCATTTTAGGGAGTGAAAGCAGGACTCTAGAGATGAAAATGTAACAACATTGTACAAATTTATTTGTAAAATTAGAAAATATAGGAAAGATTTGAATGCGGTCGCCCCCCTGGGAAAGTACATATCAGAGAGCAGCAGGCAGCTCCGCGCTCGCACTCCGCCTCGGCCACCCCACCGCGCTCGTGTCTTCTCTCTCCGCTGCCTAAGGGCCCCTCACCACCGCCACCATGGACGCCATCAAGAAGAAGATGCAGATGCTGAAGCTCAACAAAGAGAACACGTTGGATCGACCAGAGCAGGCGGAGGCTGACAAGAAGGCAGCGGAAGACCGGAGCAAGCAGCTGGAAGATGAGCTGGTGTCACTGCAAAAGAAACTCAAGGGCACTGAAGATGAACTCGACAAATACTCTGAGGCTCTCAAAGATGCCCAGGAGAAGCTGGAGCTGGCGGAGAAAAAGGCCACAGATGTAGCATCTCTGAACAGACGCATCCAGCTAGTTGAGGAGGAGTTGGATCGTGCTCAGGAGCGTCTGGCCACAGCTCTGCAGAAGCTGGAGGAGGCTGAGAAGGCCACAGATGAGAGTGAGAGGGGCATGAAAGTCATTGAAAGCCGAGCCCAAAAGGATGAAGAAAAGATGGAAATTCAGGAGATCCAGCTGAAAGAGGCCAAGCACATTGCTGAAGATGCTGACCGCAAATATGAAGAGGTGGCCCGTAAGCTGGTCATCATTGAAAGTGACCTGGAACGTGCAGAGGAGCGGGCTGAGCTCTCGGAAGGCCAAGTCCGACAGCTGGAAGAACAATTAAGAATAATGGATCAGACCTTGAAAGCATTAATGGCTGCAGAGGATAAGTACTCGCAGAAGGAAGACAAATATGAGGAGGAGATCAAGGTTCTTTCTGACAAGCTGAAAGAGGCTGAGACTCAGGCTGAGTTTGCAGAGAGATCAGTAACTAAGTTGGAGAAAAGCATCGATGACTTAGAAGAGAAAGTGGCTCATGCCAAAGAAGAAAACCTTAGTATGCACCAGATGCTGGACCAGACCTTGCTGGAGCTAAACAACATGTGAAAACCTCCTTAGCTGCGGCCACACTCTTTCATTTCTCTCTCCTTGTTTTATTTTGTTTTTAAACACCTGCTTCCCAGGGAACTCCTTCGATGCATTTTTATATACTTTTAACCACTGTCACCGAAACAACTGCAAAGAACCAGCTAGGGCAGGGGTGGGAAAGACACACAGAAAGGCAAGCCCAGTCTGGGGCAGTTAAATTTAACCGTGCCACTTCCCGGGTTGACATCGCCACACTTCATAGCGTTTAGGTGTGCAGTCTGCTTAGCCAGGGTAGGAAGCCTCACAAGCAAACAGAAAGATTTCCAGCCAGAGTGCCAAGGTGGAGGCAGAAGGAGACTGATGTTGGAGACAATCAGGTGCGGGTTGGTGCTACTTGAAACAAAAGGAACCCTGGGGGTCTTTTGTTCGATGTTATACAATTAGATTTCTCTCCAACACTAATTTATTTTGTTTTTAGTTTTACTGCTTTGAAACAAGACTATGGGTTTCTTACGCCTGTGTTCCTTAAAGTCAAGGGTCTGGAAGCCACACTGGTCTTTTTAAGAGTCCCATTCCTTCCAACTGACACACTTGCAGCCCCTTCCAGCTCATCAGGGGGAGCATTCAGTGTGCATTGCCCCGCTTTCCAGTTCTCCATGTCAGGGTAAAAGGTCTAGGCACTACATACATAATTGGTAAAGGCATTTTCTTAAGAATTATAACTATATGTAAACATTGTATAATGATATGGAATAAAATGCACATTGTAGGACATTTTCTAAAAAAAAAAAAAAAAAAGAAAATATAGGAAAGATTTAAAAATAAACTGTCACACAGTCAACCAATTCCTTTTGTAGTTACCTATTACACAGATAAATGCATATGAATTCTTATATATAAGAACATGAATGCTTATATGTATGCCCATATACAGACTCAACTATGGATATATATATATATATATCCAGGTTTCATTTCAGTATTGTTTATAACACCAAAGATTGGGAAAAGCTAGACATTCTAAGAAGATACTTTTCATCTTTGTAAGAAGCCTGCAGTGATATACTTTTAAGTGAAAGCATTTTACACATTGTATATGAAGCAAAAAAATGTATCTGCAGACATGCATATCAAGAAATGTAAACATACATATTGATACATTATTATTTCTTTTTTGACTATGTGATTTTATTTGTAATTATGTGTAAATGTCTGGCTGAGGCATGTGCACATATGTGTAGTGCTTGTAGAGGACAGAAGAGGCTGGATGCCCCAGAGCTGGAATTACAGATAATGGTGAGTAATGAGTCCCCTGATATGGGTGCTGGGAACTGAACTCAGACCCTTTGGCAGAGCAATGACTGCTTTTAATCATTTCCAACTCTCCAGCAATGATATGTGCATTTATAAACAGCAGGAATAGAACAGGTTATGAGGAAAAATGCAAGACTTTCATCAGTTCCTATTCTGAAAACTGGTACTGATGGAAAGAGATTTTCATTTCTTTACAAAAACTCATGGAAGGCTTTATTGTGTAAGTAAATATCATATATGAATTTTCATATGATTACAATTAAAATCTTTATTTGATGTTATGTAACCACGTGTACATTAGCTACCATTTCCACTGATGGACTCCATCATTTTGGAGGTTTATAAAGTATAAGATCATGCAAACATCATAGTCTAAGGCTGCTCAGAATGAATGCAAAGATACCTTCTTACCAATATAATATCCCACCTTCCATGAAAATGCAAAACAAACATGAGTCAAAATCTAACAAAATTAGTTTTTCTAGGGAACAGACTTCAAGATGTTCTTTGGTAAATGAAAAGGAAGAAAACTTCATACCAAAAATAGCATTTTAAGAATAGTGTAAACCACTTAGAAGGGGATAAATCTGTCACCATCCCTGAAGTCTCTAACACTACAAACTGTTTATGCATGAAATTGGAAAAGAAATATTGTTCTAAACTGGCTTACTGTATTCTGGCCTCTCTGTCCATTATTCCATTGCATCCTTCTTCCATGTAATTCATGGTTTTGTATATCTGCTTTAAATCTTCAAGGAAATATCTTTTTTCTTTTCTTTGTTAGAGATAGGTAAGGTCAACAGTATTGTCCAGTTTGGCCTCCAAATTATGAATCTCTGGCTTCATCTTCCCAAATGTCCAAGTAGTATGTTTTGGGGCTAATAACAAAGCTCAGCGGGAGAATTCTCAAGCACCTACACACATCTCTAGACTTCAGAAACAATGGGAAAAGGTGTAAGGTGACTCAAGAGACAAGACGCCAGTCTGTAGCTGGCTTTGTTTTTTTTTTACTCCTTTACTCTTTGTGGGGCTTGCCACACAGCTCCTGCATAAATCACATGGAGGCATAATCTTTCTTAAGAATACTCTGCCTAGTTTAGCTTGTTTGTATCCAGCTTTCCTTAAAACATCCCATCTACCTTTTGCCTGTGGGCTTTTGTCTTTCTATATACCTTTCTTTACTTCTTACTCCAAGGCTGCCTGTGTAGCTGGGTGGGTGGCCCATGATGTCCTCCTGTCCTCCTTTTTCTCCCTCCTCAATCTCTTTTTCTCCTTTTATTTACTCCCTCTGCCTGCCTGCCCCACCTACCTCTCTCTCCTGCCTAGCTATTGACTGTTAAGCTCTTTTTTTTTAGACCAACCAGGTGTTTTATACAAAGTAACACAGCTTCACAGAGTTAAACAAATGTAACATAAAATGATGCAACACATATTTGCATCATTAAACTGATGTTCCACAGCATAAACAAATGTAACATGTTTTCAACTAATATTCCACAACACCAATCAAACACAAAAATGCATTTTGTTTTTCATTCAAATTAGAAAATACAGCTATGATTTAGGAAACACGAATAAGAATTTCTAAGTATCACAAACACATTGCTAAATTATTATGATGAAAAGGTTCTCAAAGATAGCTGTGGCAAATAAAATGAAAAAAGAGAAAAATGATATATATTAAAGAATTAGAGTGAGAGGCGCTGGAGTAAGTGCCAGGTGACTATCCCAACAAATTCAGGACCAGCTACACCCACCCATCCTCCACTACCCTCCTCATGGAAGTTCAAGAACCAGCCTTCTGTGACCCTACAGCTGACAAGACCAAGTAGAAAGTTCTGGTGTTCTGAGAAATGGAGCCACTTAAGTTGTGTATATGATGGTAATTAGCGCTGTGAGGCCTCAGGTGTCAAAGAGAAACTGCATCAGATACAGAAAAAGGCCCCTCTGACAACAACAAAGAGTATCCTTTTCACAACCAACCATAGATGACAGCAAAACACCCCATCCTCAGCTTTTTGCCACCAAATGTGACCCAAGAGGGATTCAGGGGCCTCTTTGGGAGACCATTGAAATATAATCCTGCAATTTCATGAGAGGTAAACTTTCAGGACTCAGTTTAGGACATGGACTTGTTAACTATATTGATTCAAAGGATGCAGAGAAAGCCATCAACCCTTTAAATGGACTCAAGAGTCCAGACCCAAACAATGTCCACTGCCTTTTAGGTCGGATCTTCCTTTTTTAGAGGTTGGAAACAAAAACAAAGAAAGCATTATGAAGAAAACCCAAGCAGAATACAATAGTTGACATTTGCAAATCAGTTTTTAACCTTTGAGCCTTAGACTTAAATATGCCATCATTGCTTTCACCTGATGCCAGTGAATGGCTCATTACCTGGCTATTAGTGGGAGGTGTCTGCAAAGAAAAATAACTTTCTTTACAATAAAATTCCATTGTCCCTTCATCAAGGGGACCATATGAACACTGAGGTCATACCAGTGCTCAAGGCCAGACCTCTGGCTGAGAAAGGGAAACAGTTCTACCTATAGACCAGACTGAGAGAGGAGAAAGTATCCTTCCTGGAGTCGCACATTAACATGTGTAAATGAAAGCTTAAAAGGAAATAACAATAAGCAACAGCAATTTTAAGTAAAAATATAGAATTTACAGCTGGTCAGTAAAGTCGATTAGGCGTATGGCTCAGTGCTATGAAGTAACTCAGCTATGTCTTTTCTTATGACTCTTGTTTACATGCATGCCTAGGTATGTTAAAGTTCATATCATTACTCACAAATAATTTTAAGTGATAGTTTCTACTACTTTTATCATTTGGAGATAATAACTTCTTATTTCAAAAAAGTCTATAGCTATTTTATAAACAGAAATGTAATATATGATTGTAATTGTATCTTCTATTAAGCAATAATGTTAGAAAACAATAAATTAAACTTTGATATTAAAAATAGGCAGAAACAAGCACTTGTGTTATTTGGCATTCAGGATGCTGCTCAGGATGACCAATCAAGGGCCCTTCCCCCATAGTCTTTTTGTTTGGGTTTCTGATATTGCTCTCCTCTTTACACTCTCTTTGTAACCAATTGTGGTCCCTTTTCTTCACTTTGTCTCCATTAAGATTCCACCCAAGCATCTCTTCCAGAGAGGCTTATTTGTGTCGTGACTGAGACTGTCTTCTCATATACCCTCTTCTTCACACATGGAATTAATCTCATGGTGTTGATGATGTACACACACCTCTGTTTGTAAGCTAATGGGAAAGATGGCGATTCTTTTCCATTTCCTGTCTTCTGGCCTGAGATACTCCATTGTCAATTAAATTTAGCAGATATTCATGTGTGCAGATCAATAGGAGCCACTAGGTGTCAGCATTAATCACTGGGATGCTGTTGGATAGTTCCATCAAATTTTACAATTTTGAAATTAGCTTCGTAAGTCAGGTTAGCATATTTTGGAAGGGCAAAATGTGAATTGATTTGAACTTACTTCCTAAAACATATGGCTCTATCTGACAAGAAACTAGTGTGTACCTGATACTGGTAAATGATGATTGATTATAAGATGCTGTTTCAGCTCCATGGGGAGGTTACTCACTATAGAAAATATGTTCCAAATTTCAATACTCAAATACATCAGGCTGAGATTTCTGAAAACTGAGCATCCCAGGAGATGTGGATACATAACTCTCATTTGAACCAGCAATTTTCTTGTTATTTTGTGGAGACATTTGATTAAAAGGCATTTATGAAATTGCAGGGTATGTATTT